CTCCCGCACATACCTAAGCCTAACTTCAATCTGGTACAGCTATCTTTATGGGGACCTGGCATCAACTTCCATTATTTTCTACAGCCTGACCCTGACCACAAACCCTAACCCTAACCTCACCTGACCCTAAAACTAACCTAAACTCCATTCACACCTTAGTCATACACTTAACCCCTGACCCACCAACAGCGTTTCTTCTTATGGAGACTGGACTCAGGTTCCCACAAGTAGATGTGTTTGCCAAAAAAAAAAAAAAAACGCTGCCACACAACGTAGGGAATACCAGTCCCCTAAACCTAACCTCAAAATTTAGTTTTTAAACTTGTATTCACAAGCAAAATATCCACACAAAGGTGGTCTAATGGCAAATTGAGTCCTCACAACAATATCAAGACACGTGCGCACACACATTAAACATTAGATTATCTGTGTGTGGTGATTCTGAATTCCTTTAAGTCGACATAAACGATATTCATCTCGACAGCAACAACGTGGTTACACGCCACATGATTTTCTTTCCTCCTAACAACTAAACCTTCAAAAAAATAAAAATAGAAAAATGCTAAAATTATAGTTCATTTCAGCTCGAGGGAAGTGATTTCAGAACAAAAGATAAAGATCCAATTTGATGTCTCGCTTTGAATACACTCGCAGACGAATAGAGGTTGTTGTTTTTTAAAATACAGGAGTTAAATCATCAGCCTGCAACAACCATTACACCTTACAGCGAAATTCAGTTTATTAGAAGTCTGATCAGTGCTGACCCGTAAAAAAAAAGGCCAAAACCTGATTATTAGTTAAGTGGAAGCACTCACCTGACATGGTGGTGTTGTTTTCCATTGGTGTCCCCCTCAGCCAGAGTGCAGAGCTTTGAGACCGAGCTGCTGTCAGACAGAACTGAGGTGAGACTGTCTTACACACTGCAGTCCTATAATGAAAAAAAAGTAACACTCAGAAAGAGAAGTACAAGTGTTGTTTCCTGTACAAGCGTCCCAGGGAGAGATCTCTATCTCAGTTTACAGTACCTTGTAGTACACATGGCAGCACAGATCAATGAGAGAGAGAACAAATGAAAGCTAGCACGAGATGGTCACGAATGTGTCGCGCTTTGCCGTAACAATGAAAACATGGTTGCAACGCTTCAGATCAGATGTTTTCAACCATGAAACAAAGAGCTTGAGTGCAACTCAAACGATGCATTTATTAGCATCGCACCTTTAATAAGTACCAATTTGTTCTTTTTCACTTGTTTAAATGTTAAAAACAGTTGCTTAAAGAAAGCTGTCTTCATTAGGATCATTGTTTCGCACCTTTGTGCAAAATTATTATTTTTTAGTTGGCTGATCGTTATCTTTCTATGTCTTATTTTTGTTTCTGCTTTCATAAATGTCACGTCTTTTTGTACTTGTCTTCATTTTGGTCTACTTTTTGTTCACCTCTAACTAATGCCGACGTGGGCGACAGTTGAACAGATCGTTTTTTGAACAGCTGCACAACAACACGAACACCTTCAGCTGCTAATTCAAAGATGGTTGGAGATTGTTTCAGGCCTTCCTTTTTGCAAAATGTATAAATATATTTACGTATACGTATGTCTTTTATTGTTATTATGTTCACAGTTTAACAGTTTGTGTCAGAGCTTGCATGCTCGTTTGACCATTTAGTTTCGCAGCTTTCTCAGAATGTCAAAAATATGCTGTCTATGAACTCGTGCTTTTAACAAACCACACAGATGACTCATCATGGTTCCAAAATGCAGCGTTTGCAGCTTTTTGATTTTTTTTCCTTCACTTTGTGAAGTATTCAGTTCTGGCAAACCAAACTGTAACCTCAGGAACCTAAAAACCAAACAACAACCTCACAGACCTATTTTAGTCTTGAACAGCCGTTTCCAGGTGTTTAGCTCTGATTCTGTTTTAATAATTATTATTTTGTTTATTTAAATCTTTAGATTCTTTAAGTTTTAAGGATATTGTAGGGAGAAGTATATGTC